AATGAACTTCAGAAGCAATTTCTATTAACTTTTTACTCCGCATGACGACACAGATATCCTCTATATTGGTGATAAAGAGATTAAATTTGAGGCCAAACTAAAATGTGTTTTTCACAGTGAGTTAAGCTGACGTTTTCAAGGAGAGACATAAAGAGTATCATTGATGTGCAAATATCATAATTATACTTTAAAGAAGCATTACCCCTGGCCATTAACTATGGAAACTAAACAACTCAACTCAGTTCTCTGGCCTTAGTTTTTGTTACAAAATGAAAGATAAATAATGTGATAATGTGACCCTTAAAACCTCTATAAATTATAATATTGCAAATATTCTATGATTCTGTCAACTGCTTCTAAGAATATGTATTTAAAGATACATATATTCAAATATATATTATTATATAAAAAGTATATCTGATTGTATATATATATATATTCAAATATATATAATTATATATATTCAGATATAATCACATATATGTGTATAATCAAAGAGAAGGTTGGTAATTTGGTAATTTGGGAGTTCAGTATTTTGATTGATGGTTCCTTTTACTTTGATATTTTGCATCAAGTTCTACTTATCAATGTCCCTGGGGAACTAGTAAATTCCTATTACAGTTAGTTTGACTTCCTAATCTTCTAAAAAATGTGAGTCAACATTCCTAGCTGCAGGCATTTGAAAAATCAATACCTTCACATTCTGATTTTAGTCTTTAATTTTAAATATTACCTCCATCTAGACCCATAGAAGTCTGAGAAATTTCCTACTTGACCTATTTAATTTCTCAGTCACGTCCTCTGTGGCAGTCACAAATTATGACAAAAGAAAGCCTTCACCTACCCTGTGTGTCTGCCAACCAGTAAAAGAGAAAAGCAACCCAAGCACTGGGCTCCTCTGGAGGGAGATGCCCCGGGCCGACTCAGATATTCTTTTTGGTTTAGTCACTCATTTCACACAAATCACGTCAATAAAGTTGTTGTTTCTCACCTAGGCTAGTTCATTCCTGCTATCGAGTCTCACTGAAGCTTCCATTTGCTTCACTAAAGGAACTCGTTTATTTCCTTTAAGCTCTGCCTTTGATTATTACATCATGACACAGGAAAAGCAGGGATAAAACACTTTCATTGATGCCACTCCCAGGATATTCTTTACACCTGCTATAAAGTAATTATTTATTCAGCTATAATAACTGCTTATTAAAATGAATGCAATATATACTAGAAAATCTGTAAGTCGGGTTAGCCTCTTTAAAAAGCTGTGGCTTTAAGGTACCAAGAAGTTTATCTGGGTATATGTGTGATCTGCACTGTTTTCCATGTAGTACACTCTGTGTTGTGAGCCCTCAGCTCAGTTCTTTCAAACAGGTGTCCTGATTTTACAAAAAGTGTAAATGGCCATAAAACACTCCCTCACGGAGATGACCATTCAACTCCAGCCCGAGTGGAAAGGTCTGCTCTGCTCTGCGTAATGCCCGCCTGGAGAATAGACTTGACTTCGGAGACTAACATAAGCCATGAAGATAAATTATTTCCAGAACGACTCATTCTCACCAAAAGCTTCCTCTGCTGCCCCTGGGAGTGACTTTGCTGGTGGCAGACAAGGAGTACAGTGAACACAAAAGATGATGCTGCGATACAACAGTGGATTTTAATAAGCAAATAGTACAGCCGTCATGCTGTCTCTGTGTTTCAAAAGAAACTGGCCTCTAAACGGAAGAAAGGAAAATCTACTTTTGAACTTTTTTTTTTTTTGGACTGTCTGAAAAAAACACATAATCAAAACATGAGAAAGCACAAAAGGGGTTCAAGAAAACCGAGATTTGATTTTCTTTGGTCTCCATTTTCTGAAGTCATCTCACCTGCCCAGCTCACTTACTCTTTGGATCCCATACCTTCTCATTTCTTGGTTATTCTGGAATAATTATTCTGGAATAATATTTTTAGGAATGATTGCCTCATAGTACTAGGAGGGTTTGATAACTGAAGAGAAAAAAAGTTTTTACCCACACAAACACACACTCCACTGTTTATTCATCTTCTTAGCTTCAGTGTCAGTCATTTATATTTTAACAAAATGTTCAAATGTCTATGCATAACTGGCCACTCAAATACATAGTAGGCTCATTATATTATATGTTATATTATATTACATGTTATGTGTTATATGTTATATATTATGTTATTATATATTAAGTCAGACTTTCAACTGCAAGCCATCTGTTGCTCTGTAGAAATTCTGAGGTGGACACTTATAATTCATCTTTGTGGAATATACTGGGCAGACTAACATATGGAGCAGAACCTCCTGAAATTCTTCATGAAAAGACTCAGTGTGGGAGACCTGGGTCAGATGAAGGCGAGTCCACTGATAACCCACATATCAGGCCTTTTGTTTTTATCCTTCACTAGTAAAATATCCTCATTACATACTACAAAGGATGAATTTATGAAGCTCCCTCCTTGACTTACTTTGTTCAGTGAAGAGAGAGTTGCCCTATTCATCAGTTCAAAAATGAGAAGAATCAAAGTTTAAAGGAAATAAAATTGGGATTACAAATGTATGCTTTTCAATAAACTTGACTGTCTAGAATTGATATGCACAAGCTCATGACTCTTCACCTTATATTAATACAATGAGAAAACAAGTTTTCAGACAACTAATTCTTTAGCAATTAACTTGATGTCCTTCAGAGAGGCATTTTTAACCAGCTCTGTGCCGTGCCAGCACGGCCAAGGGTGAATCTGAGGAGGAGTGGTGAAGGATTAAAGAAGACACACAGAGAATACAGCTGGAGCTAGGTGGGATCACTGTGCCTGGATGAGGAAACAGTGCTCAGCCTGCAAACCAAAGCTTTATTTTACAGTCAGAGCACAAAAAGCAAAACAAGGGAAGTGGTCAACATGTTTACAATGTTCTTATGAGTTTCAACTTGTTTTGGCAGCACTTGCTGCACCTCCCACAGCCCATTAGCTACCTAGGAAGGAACTAGGGAGGACTATAAGGTCAAGCTTAATTATGCTAGGAGGGCTCTGCCCTCCAAGCTGGGACTTGTTTGTGGCCCTGCCACAGGTCAGTCTGAGGCTTGGCCCTACAGCCACTCCCTACACAGCCCTCCCTGCTACTTCTCTATCCTAATAGCCCCCAAAGCTGGATTGAATGAGAAAGGCAGAATTCATATGTGACTTAAGGAGGTTCATTCAAACACTGAAATTATAGGCTAAATTTTTTTCTTACTTTTATGTGTATTAGGTGAATTGTAAACAACAGAAACCAATTCGGTGAACTTAAGTAGGAAAGAAATCTACTGAAAGGATATCGGATAGTTTGCTGAATTTCATGGAAAAATACTGTCGAGCCTAGAAATCAATTATAAAACCAAGTGAAACTAGGCATCTAAAACAATAATGAAAATCAGACCACAGGAAGAGACTGGCTTGGACCCCACTGCTGACAGACACAATGTTTCACACTGACAGTACAGCTCTGGCTGGTCTGGAACATTGAATGCTGCTCCCACTTGTGCCTCCAGAATAAAGGCAAAGCAATCACTGTCTTGTTGTAAGAGTAGCTGTGGACTCAAAGTCCCAGGACTGGACAGGATGCCAGCATCCCACCTATGCAGGCTTAGGGAGCGCCAGGGCCTTGGCAGACTCTGGGTTCCACGCTGGTGGGCTTGATTGCCATGAAAACCTGAACAAAGACTGCTCACCCAACAGAAGTCACCATCACCTGGCAGCTTTAAAGAAAAGAAACATATGTATTTAACATAATTATATGAATATAATTACATACATATACTTATTGTTCAAGAAACAGTACATTTTGCCGGGCCGACATGGCTCAGTGGTTGAGCGTCGACCCACGAACCAGGAGATCATGGTTCGATTCCTGGTCAGGGCACATGCCTGGGTTGTGGGCTCGATCCCCAGTGTGGGGTGTGCAGGAGGCAGCCCATCAGTGATTCTCTCTCAACATTGATGTATCTATCTCTTTCTCCCTCTCCCTTCCTCTCTGAAATATATATATATATATAAGAGTTTCTTCTGGGAATACTGGCAAGGGTCATTCCCCTGAACAGCAGTAAAGAAGCAGTGACTCTGGTCTTTGATTAAATGGGTCACTTAATAGAGCAGATAGAGACAGTCTAGATATCCCGTTATGCCATCCCATTAACACATGTGAGTGCATGAGTGCAGAGGAGGTCATTAGGGTAAATGGAGTTCGTTTGGGGATTAATGCTGTTAACACTGCTGCCCGCTGATAGGAAGAGAAGGCAATCTCAACTTGTTAAACAGCTCACCACCTGGGAAGCTGAACTGCCCACAGTCAGCAAAGACTGGCATGGTATCAAGAATGAGCTTCAAAAAAATTCTGAGCCAATACGATATCATAAAGAAAGGGATGCAGAGAAATCTTGAAAGGCAGAAAGAAAAGATGGGAAAATTAACCAAATTAACATGTTTAGCTATTTTACAAAACTTGGGAGTACTGTGGACTAATTGATTTGATACTGAAAAAAGTATTGGATGCAGCTGTGAAGTATTTTGGCTTTTTCAGTACTCCTATTTTATAATTTGCCAAGGTCACCTTGTTTGGGTTTTCTAGTAGTCTTTAACTGTCAATTTCCCCCCAAAATATCTCTGTGCTAACACTCTTAGGAATATACACTGAGTGTCCAGATTATTATGACCACCTGACATTTGTAGGCAAATTAGCTATAATTTCGTGCTCAAGTTGCTAGAGGGCCAGACCATTATAAACGTCTGAATAGCACAACATACCTAAGTATCGTTGCTGATCAAGTTCATCCTATCATGTTGATGGCGTATCCCAATGGAGATGGCTTCTTCCAACAAGACAATGCGCCATGCCACGGTGCTCCTATTGTGCAGGAGTGGTTTCAAGAACATGAGGGAGACTTTACCTTGCTTAGGTGGCCCCCACAATTACCAAATCTCAATCCAGTTGAGCATTTGTGGGACGAAGTTAAAAGAGCCATCAGGCAGCTGGTTCCACAACCATCAAATCTCACAGAACTGGACAGTGCTATTCATCCGGCGTGGTGTCAGATACCTCTCATCACCTTTCAACGTCTCTTGGAGTCAATGCCAAGAAGAATCACTGCATTATTGAAGACAAAGTGCTGATGGGGTGGTCATAATAATCTGGCCACTCCGTGTATATATATTTTTATGGGGAAGACAATTCATAACATTTATCAGATTCTTATAAATATTGATTTCCCAACCAGGCTGAGAATCACTATTGCATAAAATCATAGAACTTTACCTCCAGAAGGAACCAGAGACCCAAAGAGAATAAGAGGTCATACATTGCCTCCCTTCACCAAAATTAGCATCAGGGCTACAGCAGGGGGATTCCGAAAAGAGAAGCTCCTTTTGCTCAGACAAACCTAATCCTATTTATAGGCCTTCCATTTGAAATGTGTATTTCCCCAATAACTTTTCAGTGTATGAAATCATCACATTCCTTCGTTGGTCACCAGATAAAGAAAGCTTGCTGGAAGAATAGAAAAGATTTTCATCTTGGGGAAAATAAGGTTTTTAAGAACTGGGTGCTGTTACTCAGCTGCAGTTTAATTCTTTTCTTTAAGGCTGCATTTAAACAGATAGGCATTACTGTATCTACTCAATTCCAGGACACAAGATGCAATTAGGTTTCTGAGACCTATATGGTCCTATTATAAAATATTCTGTTTTTAACTCACAGTTTGAGTAAATGAGTTCCTCAAAAACTTGCTAGCAAATTCTTTATCATTTGCTTTTAGAACTTTTTCCTTTCCTTTTTTCTTATTTCCTTCCCTTCTTTCTTTCCTTCTTTCCTTCCTTCCTTTTTTACTATAAGAAATGCACATAAACAGAGAAAGAACTACATACCATGCATAGTTCTGTTTCACTCTACACTACAATGATCACAATTTGACCTTTTATTGAAAAATTATTTGTTTAATTAATACCGTGTTTGTTTGTTTGTTTATTTTTAAATCTTTATTGTTGAAAGTATTACATATGTCTTCTTTTTTCCCTATTGACCTCTTTTAACCTGCCTCCACCCTGCCCCCCTAGCCCCAGGCCTTCACCACCCTATTGTCTGTGTGCATGGGTTATGCATATATGCATACAAGTTCTTTGGTTGATCTCTTCCCACCCACCCACCTTCCCCAGTCTTCCCTCTGAGATTCCACATCTGTTCCATTTTTTTAAAGCTGAGAAAAGAATAAATTTCTCAAAAGCAGTTTGATATAAATAATAGTAAAAAACAGAAAAATAAAACTGGCAGCCAAATATAAATATGTATATTAATCTTTCTTCAAGAAATATTTCAGCCCTGGCCAGTTGGCTCAGTTGGTTGGAGCCTTGACTCCATACACCAGAAAAGTTGCAGGTTTGATTCCTGGTCAGGCCACATACCCAGGTTGCAGGCTGAGTTCAATCCCCAGTTTGAGGCATGCATGCGAGGAAATGAATCCATTTTTCTCTCTCTCTTCTCCCTTCCTCTCTATAAAATCAATAAAAAAATATATCCTCAGGTAAGGATTTTTTAAAAAATGAAACCTTTCATAATGCTTTCATTAACTGATAAAATCTCATGAAGACCTTTGAGAAGAAAAAGGAAATGCTCCTCATTCTATGTATCAGAAAACCAAAGCAAAGAAAATGAAGGTTTTCTTAAGCATACATTGTGAAACAATAATCATTTCAGCCCTGGCCAGTTGGCTCAGTTGGTTGGAGCCTTGACTCTATACACCAGAAAAGTTGCAGGTTTGATTCCTGGTCAGGCCACATACCCAGGTTGCAGGCTGAGTTCAAGCCCCAGTTTGAGGCATGCATTCGAGGAAACGGATCCATTTTTCTCTCTCTCTTCTTCTTTCCTCTCTATAAAATCAATAAAAAAACATATCCTCAGGTAAGGATTTTAAAAAAATGAAACCTTTCATAATGCTTTCATTAACTGATAAAATCTCATGAAGACCTTTGAGAAGAAAAAGGAAATGCTCCTCATTCTATGTATCAGAAAACCAAAGCAAAGAAAATGAAGGTTTTCTTAAGCATACATTGTGAAACAGGAATCAGTGGGCTACAAAACAATTAATGCAATACTAACATAATTCAGGCCTCTAGACTATGAACAAGGCAAAATTCTAGGTGGCGTGAATGCTTCAATTTGTTATTAAGTGAAATGAATACGTTGATATCTGGGAAATCAAGGTAAGATGGGGCTTGGGGACTTGAATAAAAGATTAGATTAAGACAGGAGAAGGGAGGGCAGTTAGTGGAGGTGTGACTGGAGAATTATCCCAGTTCCTTACTGGGCTCAGAGATGAGGTCTGGTGAGAGCAGAGAATTTAGAATAAGTATGTGGTAGTTCTTAAGCATTACACCAAGGAGTTTGACTTTGGGCAAGTACTTTATCAAAGCAGTATTTTACAAAGACAGGTCTGGTATTTCCACAAATAGATGACCTAGAGCCCTCATAAGGAGAATAAAAGGGAAGAGAAAAAACATTACAAAAATACTATGATAACACATGTCATACTGGTAATGCTATTTACTTTTCAATGACTTATAGAACAGAATTTGCAAGAAGTTAAGCTAGGTCCCAAACTCAAGTGTTCTGCCTTCAAATTATGGGTTCCTTCTAGCTATATATCATGTTAAATGCATTGTATTAAATGAGAGATAAATTTGAATTTACACATGAGTTTACGATGGAAGTTATAAGAGTATCAGCAGAGCACCATTTTCTCAGTAGCAGGGATCAAACTCAGAATCAAGCTAAGACCTAGAGACAGAGCTGACAGGGCAAGTTAGGAAAACAAGAGTTTCTAGAGAAGACATCAGTCTTTGTGTGACGTGAGGTTACAAATTATTTATTGACAGAGGGAGACACGGCTACTGGGTCCAATCAATCCACTGAGGGATAGACATTTCTCTAGACTTTTATACTTGGTGTAATAGCAGAGAGAATTGATGGGGAGATAAAGGGGGTTACTCTTCAGAACTGGATCAATGATCACAATCGAAGGGTAAGGAGAAAAGAAGTAGGAGGTGTTGGTGAGAATTATTTGTCTGATTAAAGAGGCAGAGCCTGGAAGGAAGCCCTAAGAAGCCTCCTGGGTTGAGGGAATATGGAAAGAGTCAAGCATCCTGAGGGTGAGAGCGTGAAGAGAGTTCAGGGTGCACCTGCCCTAACACATTAGCACCCACCATGCAGAGTGGGCAGAGAGAAGCTTGGCTACATGGGAGGTCTCTGATGCATGGCTCAGCCAAAAGCTTAGAGAAATGGGCTGCATGCTATTGGAAGTGCGTCCATAGCATCACTCGATCCTGGAAGAGGAACTCTCTGGCCCCATCACGGAGTTTCAGGGAACACACTCAAACTCCCAGCCATCTGGTGCTACCTTCTCTGCACCCTGTGGGGCCAGGAGCTGGTCACCCGCATCAGATCTGAAAGCTCCACTTCCTCCTCACACTGAGCCCCCCCGAATCCTTAGATGGATTGCTAGGCAACTACAGAATCCACACAGTTCTAGGTGTCAAACCTTTAAATCAAAAGGTTAGCCTCAGGGCCACAAGGTTAGCTGAAAGTCAGCGTTGTAAAGTCTATAAAACAGAAGGAATAAAATAAAATGAGAAGCCTGGGCAGAGCAGTCACTGGAAAGGGAGTTTATGCCTTTATTATACACACTACAGACTCTTATACAGGAAATGTAATGTAAGACTTGATTCAAAAAAAAGTTTTGGAGAAAGAGTTTTAAGAGATTATTTTAAGTGCATATTGCCCTTTATCTGTAAAGGGCATTATCAGATATACCATGAAAACCGCCTCTTAATTTGGTCAGGATTATCCTCTTCTACTTTATTGGTGACTGATCTACTAGTAAAGGATACTAAGAAAATACAAGCCTGCTTTGAAGCAAGTACATAAAAGAAGTCTTGGAATTTAGTCGCCATAATCCTCTGTCCTGGTGCCAAGTGTTGCAATCTTACAAAAGAGCAAACAGTGTTCAGCGAGGCCACAAGAAAATGAAAAAAAAAAATAGCCCTTTTAATGTCATTGTTAAGGTTCAGTGGCAGGGGTGAGCTTTGAAAACAAAAAAAAAAGAAATGAAAGAAAGAAATCACATTTGCCAAGAATATATTTGGGAGTTCTCTCAACAACGTCTGAGAAAGTCAAAGCAACACACAGGTAGTTACTACTGAGACCTCACCTGGGTGCCTGTCCAATTAACTTAATATTTCCTTTCCTATGCCCACACCATTAAAAGGCACTCATTTTATGGACTGTGGGGTGATCACAAGGGTTATTTTGCCTGTATCAGCGATGGTGACTGGAGAACTGCAGCACTTAAGTTCCTCCCATGGACAGTTCGTAAATTCAGGGGCAAACCCTCCCCCACGCCCAGCTTCTTCCAACCCTGAGGCTTCGCCAAGGAAGTCAAGAGCAGAAGAAAACAGATGCTCATCGGCTGGAAGGGCAGCGGAAGTCGAGGACACTCTCTGTGACACAGAAGGAAAGACCTGCAGAGAAAGATGGGGACAACCTTGCTCGCTCCTTTGCTTTCATGAAACAGATGTCAACTGAGTGGCCATCAGGACTCTGCAATGAATTCAGTATGATCAAGGGAAGAACTGCTTTTCCTTTCTGATAGACTGCGTGTGTACACACACACACACACACACACACAACACACACACACAACACACATAACACTCACACACAACACACACAACACATACACACACAACACACACAACACATAACACATACACACTACACATAACATGTACACTCACGCACAACACATACATACATACACACACAACACACACCATACACATACACACCATACACACAAACCACACACACACGCGCGCGCCAAACACATACACGATACATACACACCACATACACACACACACACTCCACATACACTCACACACAAATACACACAACACATACACACACGTATACTGCTTTCCTTTTTGTCTATAATAATAAAAGCATAATATGCTAATTAGACCATACAGCCAAACCACTTTCCGGACATGATTCCAGAGTTCTTCCAGATGAAGCCACGGTGGCGGGGGCCAAGGCAGAGGCGGTTAGGGGCGATCAGGCAGGCAGAGTGGCTAGGAGCACTCAGGCAGGCAGGCAGAGGCAGTTAGGGGCGATCAGGCAGGCAGAGTGGTTAGGGGCGATCAGACAGGCAGGCAGAGGCAGTAAGGGGGGATCAGGCAGGCAGGCAAGTCAGACATCCCCCAAGGGGTCCCGGATTGCAAGAGGGTGCAGCCAGGGCTGAGGGACCCCACCCCCAAATTTCAATATAAAAAAAATATATATATTGAAAGGAAAGTGAACCTGTCCCCGGAGAAATGTTCAAAGCTTGAAAGAAAGCACAAATCAGCAAATGGCTAAAAACTGTTATTTTAGTGGAAATTCTGATGGCTTTTATAGCATGAGGCAAGATACATGGTAAAGGTTTGGGGGTTCTTTGTTTTGTTTTCTCTTAATTTAGTCAACAAATATTTACTGGTGCTCAGTGGACATACAGTTGTCTGAGGATACAATCAGCAACAAGACATAGTTTCTCTTTGTCAGCTGACATTTTTGAGAACTACGCTGCTGTCAAATTTCTGGTCCTCACAAACTCAGTACAAGTTATTTTACTCTATTTCTTCTGCAAATAAATGAGAAGCAGAGTAGTGTTGAATAGCTCAGCAATATGGCCTGCTAATGAGTTTGCTCATCATCAAAGACAAGGGTTAGTCCCATGAATAAATTTACAGTGTGGACTGGAAATGGACACATAAAAATGCAGTGTGAGAATGCCATCACAGAAATATTTGGCACACCCCTAGACAAAGCACCAAATGACAACTTCTGTCCTCAGGGCCATTGGGACCGATTTGCCAGACTGAGAAGCTGGAGTGGACTGTGCAGAGGGGGAAGGGGTGGGGACTCCAGGCCATGGAACATTTTCTCCGGGTGGTGCCACAGTGGGTCCAGGTGTGGTACTTGCAGAGATATTTGCCTCTAGCAAGCCGGCATTGGCTAGTGGCACATATTCTCTGCTTCCTGCCACAGGAGAAAAAAGCTTAATGTGTAAAGTTATGGACACTAGAGCAACTATTAGTACTTGTTTTAGCTCTAGAAAATATCAGCCCTCATCTTCATGTGGTAGAAGAAAAATATCCTGTTTCAATTACAGTCCCATTTTCAAAGGAAAATGCAGCTGAATTTCCTCTCAGAAGGAGGACCTGAGAAGTCCCATTTTCATTTGCTGACTGAGAGGCCACAGTGCTATGAATACACATATTTTATTTTCTACAACAAAAGTATAATGAGAACTAGACTAGAATCATATTCCCAATCATTAGGTTCAAGAAAAGAAATACACTAGATAAGTGGTATATATTTTTAAGTCTGTATTTTAGTGTTATACAATTTAATGGGCATTCCTTGAAAAATTCAAGATTTTCAGTTGAGCAGTGTCAGAAAGCCTTCCTTGGATCAAACATAACAGACCTAATTACCATAAATGCAATATCAGATCACACTAACTCAGTGTATAATATTTTCTAGGTTTTTAGCAAACTCTAAAATTCTATTAATGTGTCTGGGATCCTTAAGGGTAGCCCTATGTCTCAAGATCTTTTCCAGACCAATGGATAAATGAAGAATGGCCCCATAATCACTTTGAATAGAATTACTTTGCCTATGGTTTCCATATTGTCATATCACAATTTTATAGTATAGTTATGCTGTCAATATCTGTTTTTAGGGTAGATATTAATATCCCTTTCTTCAGAACTATCCATCAGCTTCTTTGATTCAAGATGTTTTCTCATACAGATCTTTGTTTCACCTGAACTCAACTGAACCATGAGATATGGTTGTGTTTAAGGTGCTTTTGAAATTGAAAATAAATTGTACCCAACACCATATTATTAAGGTTTTTATTGAAAATCTTAATTTCGTATTTAAAACCATGTTTAATTTTACTCTTTTGAACAAATTAATGTTTGTTTTTCCTCCCCTGTCCCATGATGATGATAAATTTTCTGATTATCTTGCAAATAAGTAGTGTACCTCAAAGACAATGGATGCATAACAGATGTTATCAGCTCATGGGCCAAATAAGTAGGAAGTTTTGTGATTGAAGATTGTATCAAGCCGTCAGTGGGGAGGCAATAAATTTGCCAAAAGTGTAATAAAGGGACTATTTATAAGGTGAGGGCAAGATGATAGAAAACCGTAAGAGTCAGAGCAGTATTCTGGAGATAGGAATGGTGGAGTTCAATTACCATTTCCAGGCTTACAGAGGTCCTGGGATGGGAGGGGAGAGAGAGAAATTTTGTGGAGAGGTGCAGCTAGCTTACTGCTTTCCTTCCACTCTCTTTATAGGTTGGACCCAACTCAAAGTCTGAAGTAAAGAGAGACTCACTGATGCGAAACCCATTGGTCAACCTCCAGAGCAGAGTAGAGCGGGTATCTGGAAGGGAAAAGGAAAAGATCCTACATAGCAATAGACCTACAATTTAGGGCTTGAAGTTTCACCTCCTATCCCTTGAATATGCCAGCAATGGCTTTTGAACTCAAACTTTTCTCTTAGTGGTTGGAATCATTACCTGCTCTTAGCAAGTTTGATGATCACAATATGATATTGTTGGCTATATCCACTACTCTGTGCATTAGATCTTTAGGGTTTACTTCCTACTCTTTGCAAGTGTAGGCCCTTAAATATCCACCCTTCCTCCCCATCCCCCAACCACCATTTTACTTTCCCCTTTTATAGTTTGGTTTTTCAGATTCCACAAATAAGTGACGTCATGCAATACTTGTCTTTCTCTGTATGTCTTACTTAACATAGCATAGTATGCTCAAGATTCATTAAGTGGGTCAATGTGACTATTTAACACAGCTTTAAAAGACAAGAAAAGGAAAGTTTTCTCAACACCCAAGGTTAAAAGGATTTAATAGATAAAATGTACATAATTTCCTAAAGCTGCCTTTTAGTTTCTGGGTGTGTGTTTTTCTCTTTACTGTCATGAGCTGGATGCATCAAGAAACTTTGGAGTGGCTAGAGAGGCAGTAGAATGGAACAGTTCCATCCTATTGGAATTCTCATTTGATAACTACAGTATCCTATCTAATAAAAGACAAAAAGGGTAATTAACCATACCTCCGCTACGCTTCCCATTGGCTAATTAGCAAGATATGCAAATTAACTGCCAACAAAGATGGCGACCGGCGGCCACGCAGCTGAAGTGAGCAGGAGGTTTGCTTGCTCCAGTGATGGAGGAAGCCAAGGTTCCCCGCCTGCCGCGGCCCGGCTCTGAGCTCTGAAAGCAACAGCTCCAAAAGCAACAAAGTTTCAATTATAGAAGCTAAACAAACCCCAGATACCTGCTTTCAGCCAGCTGCGGCCTCAGAGCTGGAGCAAGTAGAAGCCGGCTCTCAGCTCCAGTGACGGCAACAGAGTTTCAATTATAGAAGGTAAATAAATCCCAGAATAAAAAAAAAAGAAAAAAAGGAGAGGCTG